AACCTGTGTACGCACAAACTTATGTACAGAAGGGAACTTCCTTCCAAACACCCACTTATGTTTCAATGAATAAATGTAAAATGGGCTCATTTTCAAGTACATGTTGAGAAATACATTTACCACATCACTGCTTGTAAAGGCTTTAAACATATACTGGTGATTTGCAATAATTAGGAAGCTGCTGCTAAATTTGCTCTTCCAATAACAGTTCGATGTCTTTGACTCACTGGTAGCTGAGCCAGTGGGCAAGCAAATCCAGTGTTCTTTATTCCTTGGAATTTGCCTTTTCGCAAGAGAAGTGTGGTTCAACAGGTAAAGCCCTGGTCAGAGAAATGTAAGACATAGGATATTTTAAAACTTAAGTTTTAATTAAGCACTGCACTAATACATGTTTTGTTTTTCTTGTTTTAAGGGGGGTGTATTACTTTTGGGTTCCAGCCCTAGTTTTTCCCACTTATTACTTATGACTGATGTCAGGGTCTCCACCTGTAAACTGAAAGATCCTCCATTAAGTAAAGGCTGACATTTCTTTTTTTTTCCTCCAAAGATTTATTTATTTATGCATATAAAACTGGGGTACAGGCCAGAGGTGCAGGGGCAGTGGGAGGAGTCACCAGAGTGGGAAGCAGAACAGGCAGATCTACTGAAATATACTGCTGAGGGGAGCAGCGGCTCTGGGCCAGGAGAGGTCTGCCTGGCTGGGGATTAAATTCATTGAATTCATGTTGCAGTGGCTGTGACTAGCTTGGTACTGCTGTGTTTTAACCAGGGAGGGCCCATAAATGCTGACATTTCTTTAAATTATTTTCTCTGTGCCAGGCACTGTTGCGGTCCAGGGCAACCCTGAGGTGAAATGGGTTGCCTGACTGGGGGTCCTCACCCACTATCTCAAAAAGGACTTATAATAAGACTCAACTGCATACAAACACACAATGCTAATAAAGGGTTTATTTACAAAAAAAGAAAGGAAGAAATGAATAATTCAGGGAGAAAAAGAGAGAAGTAAATTGGTGAATGCATCCTACCAGTACTGCTGATCTGGAACCCCAAAGGCACACTGAAAGCCAGAGAAAATCCTAGATTTCCATGGCCTATGTGTCTGGTTATAAACAAAGCCTGGCTGCTTAACTCTACCCTGTTTCCAGCAATCTTCCCTTTGGTGGTGAGGACACTGAGATATTTGTAGTCCTTGGCATCTTGGCTGTCTTTGGTCTGGGGTGGCAGTGGAGCCCATAAAACCTATTTGTGAAGTTTGTTCAGGAAATCCTTTTCCCAACATTTTGAGTGGTTTGTGTTAATTTTGTTTAATTCTCACAACTCTTATAAAGTAGATGCTCTGATTATCATCAATTAGGAGACTAGATATTCTGAGATAATCAAGTGTTGGGTAAATGGAGTATTTCAAAGGTAGGAGAACCCATGGAAAGAATTTAATCCAAGAGGTAGTGAATCATTGTGGTTATGAGCACTCTACCTCAAATATGAGACTTTCAAACTTGGATTGTTCACTCTGTAGGACTAAACCTTGGACAGGTGATATAAACTTTGTTTGCCTCGATTTCCTCATCTATAAAATGGGAGTGATGATAGAATCTGCATTATTAGGTTGTTATAATTAAATGTGCAGTTCTTAGAACAGCATCTGCTGCATAAAGAGCTCCCAGTATATGTTAAAATGAGGAGGAGGAGAAGGCAGAGGAAGAGGAGGGGGGACCAGGAAGAGGAGGAGGATAGTAGGGACTAGTATGTGGAACCTCTGTGTCACTGAGAAGAAAGAGTCGCTGTGTTAAATCCTCAGGTCAGCAAAAGGCTCTGGTAGTAGAGAGAGTATTGAAGGGAAGAATGGAATTTCTGTCGTCAGTGACACAGAGAGCTTTCAGATTGAGGAGTGGAGCAGAAAGATGTGGGTTAGCCTAGAGTGGCAGAAAAGTTATTATATCAACTCAGCGAAAGGTTACAGAAATGCATTGGTGGTCCAAATGAGGGTCAAATCTGTGTCCTTACATGAGGTCAAAGATCACAGACAGCTATGTATAGAATAAGCGCTCAGAGATTGTCCAGTACCACTGGCTTTTTTACATTTTCTATAAGGAGATGTGTGCTGTACTTAAATGAGGATTTCAAATAAGAATGTAGGGAAAATGGAGGAACTGCCTTCAGTTTTAGGATGATGTCCAGATCAGAAAGCATAGTCACCAAAAGAGTACATTTTTGCAAATTAATTGAAAGAAGGACGGAGAGGGGCGGAAAGGAGACACCAATTTTATGTTAAACAGTGTTAGATTGGCTTTATAGCTTTGTAGAAAAACCCTTGATAGGAAAATACAGATTTTATTATTTCTAGGAACTTGGTTTCCTGAAATGGAAATTAAGTTTAGGGGGAGTTTGGCAGCCTTGAAGGTTGGAGCAAAGGAGGAATCACTCATTTGCAACTAGTGTTGAAACTGGGAAACAGTTAATGCTAATCTGTTAATCTGTTACTGTTGAGGATGAATATATCTCAGCTTTAAAAAAATCACTTTTAACTAAGTTTATGCTTAGTACTTTCTTTTAAATAACAGAATGTCTCAAAAGGAACTAATGAGTCAGATCAATTTGGCTTGAGTTCTGCGCAGGGGAGGGGGCAGGAAGGCTCTTTCAGAACACTAAAAACGCTGGACTAAGTTTTATTTACAATTCACCAAGCCAGGCTTGGGTTGGAGGGAGTTTCTCAGAGGGGGTTAATGACTCCCTACAGTGCTTCTCTCCACTTACAATAGCATTGGGTTCCTGAATGAAGATTGGCTTTTCTGCACACATAGATAAAAAAGAACCAAGAGCACTGAGACTGAAGCAAAGATAAGATTTTTGTGGCTGTGAACTCGTGCATATTTTATTATTTATAAAAAGCAAATACCACGGCCATATTTTAGAAAGCAGTTTTTAGTTCGGCTTTTGTTTTACTTTAAAAGAAAATGTATTCTCAGCCATTATTTCTGCCCCTAAGATTGTCTGTCTTGTTGTAAGTTTGGGTGCTAGTAGACATTCGCCATGAGGTATCCCTCAAGTGTGGCCTGGCCGCAGTCCACCTCCTTTGCTGTGAGAAAGGAGAGAGGAACATGGCTGGAGCAGGTGGACGTCGTGTTATTTGAAGTCTTGCTCTCTTTCCCTGGCTGCTCCCACTTCAGCCTCTACTGGTTGTGTCAGGTGATGGAGACAAAGAAACTGAGGTACAGGGTGGTTTTATTCTTACCTTCAGGCCCTCTGGAGAATATGCAGGGGCAACAGGAGAGGAGAACTCAGCTTTCCCTCAGGGCAGGTGCTCAGCAGGGCATGCTGCTTCTGCCCTGGAAGATGGTCAGGCCTCTGAGTAGCCAACTCTATTACCCTCACAAGGAACTTCCTCTTGGCACTTGCAAACTGGAATGTCCACAAAGTTATCTTCATCGAAAAACATGGCTTAGGAAATTGAAGGTAGCCAAAGGTGACATAGGAAAAGGAAGCTTTTAGTATCCCATGTATGACTCCTGCAGGTCCTTAACTAAAGAATCCAAGTAAATTATGAGCGAGATATGTTCAGTGATGTGAATCGCCATTCCTTTGGCTGGCATCCTTTCTTATGGTTTGAACCCACCTATGCACTCCAGTTTTATTCATCCATGTGAGAACCCAAGTGGATGTCCTGGTGAAGAACAGGGGTTTGCTCAGATCTGGTGAATAAAAGCCCTGAGTGCCTAGTGGGGAATGAAAACTGGTGATGTTTTGGAGTATGTGTAAGTAACATTAGCTAGATTATAATGCATCACAACACAAATACAGGGGCCTCTCTGGTGGTGCAAGGGGTTAAGTCTCAGTACTCTGAAGCTATTGACAACCACTGTGCATGAGTTCAATCCCTGGCCAGGGAGCTGACCCACATGGTGCAGCAGACTTCTCCTGTCCCACCTGCTGCTCCCTTAAATTGTGTATTTCAGTCACTCTGCCTGTTCTGCTCCCCACTCTGTCTCTGGTCAATCTTCTCACTCCTCATACCTCTAGCCTACACCCCAGTTCTTGTGTACATAAAGAAGTAAAATAAATCTTTTTAAAAACCTCATAAATACAAAGGCAGACTATGTCCTCAGTTTTAGGGGAGAACTTAGACAAATGGTGTTGGTCTCCAAAAAAGCTAAGTGGCACATGGTGGAATTTTATTGAGGGGAGAATTAGCAAATAGGCCTAGGGAAATAATTTTGGGGGAGAAAGACTATAATTAATACCCAAGTCCCCCTTCTTGGGTTTAAATATAGAACTTTATTTGAAATTAAAGGGAAATGTAAGGAGTCTAAAATTTTTCTAAGTAGAAGATGATTTTTATTTGGAGGAATGCATGCAAGTTGATGAATGTAACCTCAATTAAAATGGAGAGAAAATTATGAATAGAGAGGAAGAAGCAAAGAAATTGTTTTTTAAAAAATTCAGCCTAAATCTAACTTTGTCTTAATGTATTTAGTGTTTCCATCATAGGACATCTAGTCTTTTATATATGTCTTATGGGGGAAATTGATTTGAAGCTAGAAAAGCTTTTTGAAAGTTAGAAAGTTTCACTTTCCTTGAATTTTTTTTCTTTTTTACTTTCACCTATTTATTTGAAATTTAGAATTGAAACAATTATAAAACAGGCATGATTATGGCTAGAAAATATCTTAAAACATTTAATAGTTACTGACTTAAATATGGTGAAAGAGTATTACAACTCTTGGTATATAAATTAAACCCTCTAGATAAGTCAGTGGCAGAATAAAATACAGGACAACTAAGTATAAAAACTACTTGTCTTACGATGGTTCTGTGATTGTAGAATTTTAAATTTAAAAAAGGAAGATTTTTTAATTGGCAGCATTGATTTAATTTAACTGTATTTAAGCCTTGCTGTCTAAAATTAAGACACAAAAAATTCAGATGTCTTTCATCTTATTGTGAATTTTTCACAGAGTAGGAATGATCATAATTATTAACTTGTATCATTTTTATTTTTACAGGAACAATGTTCATGTGTCAGACATCTTATCTCTCTAAGAATCTTGGAGATTCTTTTAAAGGTGAAACTTTTCGGCTTTAGGTAAGGAAACTGTTTTATATTGTTTATCGGCTGTTGAAAAGAGACCGTTCAATTTGAAGAAAACATGCATTTCAGTTCTGCTTGTCTTAAATGATATAAAACACTTAAAGATAATAGAAAGCGGGATTTTTAAGTTAAATAAAACAAATTTTTCATTTTAAAAGGTCAATTTGTTAAGGACAAAAATAAGACATTTTTGCACTCTCTGATGGATTGGTATAATAATAGAATTCCTATTATGCACCTTTATTTAAGACATAACAAAACTAAAATTATATTTAGCAAAATCCAAAGCTAGAGTTTTTAAGACACCTAGAAGATGCCTAAACATAAATGTAAACAGATAATAAAAAATAGAATTTTAAAGAAAATTGAAGTACAGTCACTGCTTTAAAAAACAAGCCCGTGGATTAAATTTAATTAAGATTTGGACCATAATAGAGAGGTCTGAACTGTGAGGTAAACTCATATGCTAGGAAAATATTGTTTTGTATAGTCATAATGTAAATATAAACAGTTTGGTTAATCAGGCAAGAACTGTCTTTTGTATGTGACCTCTTTTCAGTTTGAGAAAAGGAAAAAAAAAAAAAGACAAGACAGACTAACGTTTTATAAACATTTGATTATTAGCAATTCATTCTATTTTTGGCAGTATTTCTACTAGAACAGCTTACTTGTATAAAAAGTATAGATTATATATGTGAAAATCAGATGTTCTAAAGCAGACAAACTAAAAATGCAATTAAAACATCTAAACAAACATTTAGAGATACTTTAAAGTATTTTATGAAGTTAAAGAATAAAAGAAGTAGTTACAGAAGTTGTTCCTAGAAATAGGTTGTAAGAAATGTTAATTTGTACATCTTAGCTTTGTCACCAATACATTGGGAAAAATAAGTATATTATAATTTCTGTCTTCTGTGAACATATATTTCAAAAGTAGTAAAATTTCTGTAATTTTAAAATCTTTAATACAGTTATAAATTAATATTTAAAAAAATGTTGGTCTAAAAGATTAGGCTTTTAAGAAATGCAATGAAAATTCACATGGTAAAATGAAATCTAAAAACTTTAGGAGAAAAACACTAAATTTGGGGGTATGAATTTGAAGAATTAATTTCTAGACTATATTTGTTTATTCTTATAAAGACATTTAAGTTAATAGCAAGTATATAGCTTAACATTTACTAAAGTTACTTAATTAATATTTACTAGCCTTCTAAGATATTTTTAAAAGAAGGAACATGGTAATTTGAAAAAAGAGTAAGAAATTATTTCTAATGTGATCTTTAAATAAAGCCCTTTAATATGTCAATTTTCAAATCATAGTTTAAAGGACAGAAAAGAAGAAAATGACTACCTTCCTAATGGAAAATAGAGTCTCATAACTATATGAGAAGAGAGAGCTGTAAGCATGTCATAAATTTATGAGGAGATCAATTTCATTTCTGACTTGTTTTTAAGCTTTTTTTTATCACATATTTTAACATCAGGAGAATAACATACAAAATATGTTTTTTTATGGTCTGGTAGCTCCAAAAAAATAGAGATAAATGCAACTTTTCCTAAGCTAAATTTTTTACTAAAATGCTAGGTAAAAATTATAAAAATACAGAAGCTAAAATAGTATATTTTGAACTAAAATTCAAAATATATATGTAATATAATTTTTGCTGTCTTGTTATATAGCATTTATCGTAATTGTTATGAAACCAAATACCCTAACATGAGTGAAAAAATAAATGTTGAAGAAGTATTTTCTTTTCACAGTTTACTAGGTAAAGAATTTTACTAATAAGCTAACTGTAATATTAAGGGACATCTTTAAAACAGAGTTTTGTAGAGTTTTGCTGAAGAGCAATCTTGCCAAAAAGACTGTGGGTTTTTATGTGTTTTTAGGATCTCTGAGTTTTGTGATTTGAAATTCATGATACCTTTTCATCACTCCTTCAAATGGAAAAATGCTTCTTTGGAAAAATCAAACATTGTGTACATTGTATTTTACATTTAGGTATGAGAAGAATCGCAGGTACTTTGGGAGAATTAGAGTTGTTGTTTTAGTGCATGCATCAAATACTAAACAATTATTTTGGCTGTCTGTCACTTACACCTTTGAGCAAGTTTCAGTTTGTATAAATACATTCTAGATATTTAATTTAGATGGATGATTCAGTAATCTTTAAATGTAATTGTCATCCTTACTGAAATTATGGGCAATATACTTTAAAGAAATGCATTTTAAAGCCCATTTTTAATTAAAACGAGAAAGACTTTGAAGGACTTCTTGGAGTGAGTAAAATAATGTGATAGTGCAGGTTTCTGAAAGAATGAACTCTTAGTTTATTTTTCCAAATATATTAAAATGTTTCTTTACATGTTGTTTTTTGATATTTCAAAGTCAGGAAAAATAAAGCAGCAGTATATGCTATTTCTGATTATCTATCAATAGAAATAAGGAAAAGCAAAGTGTATTGCACGATAGGGCTTTTCCCTTAAAAAATATTAGCTTGAAATTTAAAAGATATATTGTCTATAACTAATTTTTTTTTATTAGGACTTATTTGGAGTTGCAGCACTTTTCTAAATCAATATATTTGACGATATTTGGCTTATAAAATGGAGAGATGTAGACCATTGTGGCCAGTTACAGGACAGTTTTTCTTTCTTGTTGCCTCCTAGAACTTAACAGACCAGATTTTCAATTAATAACGTTAAATAATGAAATTTCTGGGCTATAAAAAATTCAGGAAAATGCCAGAAAATTGTCAATAGGAGGGAAAGATTAATTGTAGCTAAACGGACCCCTTAAATAGTAAACATTTGGCTGTGTGAGGAGTGTTCTGGTGAAAACAGCTACTATTCGGTTAGGGATAAATTCCTGGGTAGGTGAGATCGTGGGTGTGACGAAGGCAGGCGGCGAGATAGCCCAACGGTAATTGTTTGAGAGAATTTCCAAAGTTACTTTCGGACGGTGAGGGTGAAAGTAGGTGCAACAATTGGATGTTGGGCGGGGGAGGGAAGCGGGCTCGGCAGCCTGGCGCCACGACAGGGTTAACCGCGGCGCCGCCTGGTGCACTCTGGGAGTTGTAGGCCGCGGCATTGTGGGATTGTCGTAAAAGTCGGCTTTCTAGTTGTAATGGCCGCCGAAGAGACAGGAGTTGTGGTTTCTGCCGTTCCGGACGGCTTAGGGGGCTCTCGGTGCCATCAGAAGGCCACCAAGAGCCCCCCAGGTTGACTAGAGTCTGTTAATTGTGTGTCTGAGAGGTGGACGAACGGCCTGAGGGGTTAACGTTGAGGCTTCATGTCGCCAAATGGGCCAGGGGAGCCTCTGAGGGCTACAGGCTTGGTGAGGGGCCCTGACCTGCCTCCCTGACCCTGGTCTTCTGGCTTTCTGCCTTGGAACTGTCTGTGTGGCCAGAGCCTAAGCGTTTGGGACTTTATTTTGTTGTGGTTTGTATCCTGCTCCCCCCATCCCCTTTCGTTCAGCGTTCGACTCTGTCCATGTGGTTGTTGATGCTCAGCCCTGTTTGGGATTTGTTTGGGCTTGTTTATTTGGGTGTGGTGTGATTTGTGCAAGAGCTGGGATTTGGGAACGTTCCGGCAGCAGTGCTTTGTGTGTGGAGTGTCTTGGATTGATGTAAGATTCTGCATGATTAGTAAGATTCTGCATGATTAGTAAGTCAGTCCTCGGATGAGTGGTTTGCTTTCTTTTGCACATGGTGAACTTTGGCTTTGTTTGCTGATACTCAGGCAGAGTGAAACCCTTCCTATTTGTGAAATACTTTTCTGCTAATCTGAGTACTTTCTTAAGTCATGGAGACACCCCGGAGACTGTTTTTTGCAGTTTGTAGAAAGGCGTTTTGTGCAAAAATTAATTTTAAACCTGCTCTCCAAGGTCCTCAGGTTCTCAGGGAACAAACCTCGTGGGGTCTCTGGTGCTGCAGGGTTGTTTGGGCACTTGTATGGAAATCAGGTTTGTATAGCCGTGTTACCTTACTCTCGGTTCCCAGGATTCCTCTGTATGTTGGCATAGTTGACTTTCTCATAGTGGGTACTAATTCAGCAGAGGTAAATTGAGACACTGCCCTGACATGTAACAGTGTATAGGAATCACAGGGTAGCCAGCAGGTAGATAAGTAAGGACCGATCTTCCCCTCCTGCACAAACTGAAATCTAACTATTTCTGTCACCATGTACTATGTAAATAATGCCTGATATTCACAGTCCTTGTCTGTTCAACGGAGGGCTAACTGATCATGAAAAACCACTTCACAGACAACTGGTCAGTAGGCACTTCACTCGTGTTTGAGGAAGTAAAGGATTTGAAATAAACGTACAGGAGTGGTTGTAGAAGTTAGTCATGGGTTTCTGATTTGGGGCATGACAGATGATTTGCAGAGAAAATGAAAAAAGTCCCATTTAGTGGGGTGTCTTAGTGACTATAGAGCATGATTCTGTGTTACTATGATGGACACATGAATCGTTAAAAAGCCTTGGATGTTTTGTGATGAACTGGGTTTTGATAATCTCCCTCTTGTTTGAGTTTTCTTTGTATTTGACTATTAGAGAGCATCATCACGGAAGAGAAAACAGAACAATGCGTCCTTAGGAACCTTTTCTGTCTAGTGTGATTTGGGCTGTAGATTTGATTGACTAATATCGTTTCCTTGTCAGTCAGATCTTAGGAGAATGTTTTCTTCCTTCTGACCTGATCCTGGTGTGCCTTAGAGTGGGACCAACAAAGAGTGGGGAACTTACATTATTGGTAAACTTGTTTTGTCCATTTTTGTTATTGTTAGGTGATGTGGTAAAGAACTGGTGAGTTGGTTTTGTGTTTTATGTAAACTGGATGGCTAAAATTTGTAGCTGTGTAGAAGCATTCAAGCCATAAATAGCCTGTTTTGAAAGGAAGCATACATTTTTAGTAGCTAAGTTGCTGTTAAAGTGAATTAAGCTAAACAAATGGTTTGTAAGTGCTTTGAGAGTGAATACTTACTTTGATAGGCTAGGGATAGACTTATCTCTGCTTCTGCGAAGAACCCTTCTGAACTTTCATAAGTAGACACATCTCTACAGAATGTTGAGCTCTTATATCCAAGAATTCTAACATGTAATCCCTGAGATTCTGCTTTCTACCTCTATCACTTCAGTTCTGCTGGTGTTTTCTTGTAGTACACAAAGTCAGCTGCAGTTTTAGAAAAATATATGGTAAGATCCATAGTTATCTGGAGAAGCTTATATGTGTGTATTTTATATATGTGTCAAAAACAGTCTTTTTGGAAGACAGGCTTTGTGTGATTTTGATAAAATTCTTTCAATGAGACATTACACCAAAGGGTAACTTTATTGATTTAGGTGTTATAAATGAAAGCCACTGGCTCTGATGTTCATTCAAAACAGTAACACACACTTACTTCCATTTATGGGCATACATTGTTCAATTGTGCCTTGTTCTTCACAAATCGTGCCAATTTTACAAATCAGGGGTTGGTGGCAGCCCAGAATTGAGTACTTTTCTTGGTGCCATTTATCCAATAGCTTGTGTTTACTTCCTCTTACATTTAATTAGGATATGTGCATTTTTTAGCTATAAGTCTATTGTTGCACTCCTAATAAATGCAACCATTAACACAGCCATTAATAAGTGCAACCATTACTGTATAAACTCCAGAAAGCCAAAATATTCACATGACTCACTTGATTATGGTTGTCTAGAAGTGAATACTCAGTATCTTCAGGTTTGTCTGTAAGTGAATTTAGAAGATGACAAAAACTTAAAAGTTTTCATTTTAGATTGTAGCCAAAATTTGGTTACACTTGGGGTAAGAGGTACCTATATAAGAATATCAGTCTTTGTCCTTTCTGACCTATTTCCCTCTTCATAACTGTTCACACTGCAGAGCAAGCATTTTTTATTAATGTGTTTCTATATCTGAACATTTGTGGGTGCTAAAAAACATATCGAAGACAACAAATCACCCTCTCAAAGTTTGGTCCTTGGTCTTCTTATTATTTGAAGAGTTGTTGATTGTACTTTGTGTACTTATATATGTATCTGTTTTCTTGATTTAATATGCTTAATTTGTTTTAATATATTTCTTTTTAGATTATAATACTCTTAAATATGAAGTATATTTCCACCCTCTCACCTCCATCTTCCTAGCCGATAAAAAAGTTTCTGGGAGAAAGAGGAAAGGTATTTAATATTTTTTTCCATGACTGTTAATGATGAATTTTATTTTCTGATTTTTCCTGCATGTATTTTAGGAACAGAATACATTAGCTCTGCTTTGCTGGGCCCTCACTTTTTTTTAAGTCAGAGTTAAGAAGTCAGATTTATGGATAAGAGACCGCAAAACAGTCATTGCTTCAAACTACTTTTGATGAAAAGATATGAATCCATTTCTGTTGAAAGAAAGCAAGATCATATGTATAGATCTTGCCACTTACAAGGATTCTCTATCTTATAAAGTGTCAGAAGTCCTTAAGAACTAATTTTGCTTTGTCCTCTGCCTGCCTTATTTTCTTTTTGTTCAATTTTCTCCTTAAGTGTGCCTGTGTGGTACTAGAAGTTATTTGACATCTTTGCTAATTTTGGATTTCTTTTCCAAATTCAACTTTCAAAAAATCACTTTCACCTAAAATAGATGTTATAAGCACATTATTTTATTAAATAATTATTCTTGCATATTATGTTTTTATATGATGATGAATTTTATTATAATGATTCTTCGTACATGTATTTTAGAGATAGGGTACATTATTGCTACTCTGCTAGGCAGTAACCCCAGCACAAAATGTCAGAATTTGACTTGCAAAAAAAATCTAGAATATATGACTTTAGTTTAATTTTCTATTAACAGGCTTTAGCTAATGGAGAAATACGTAACTTGGTATTTCCAGACAAATTTTACTTGACTACAGTAGAATTTCTTGCCTGACACAATCATGAAATGTGATTTGAAAATGACTATTACTGGCCTTCCCTGGTGGTGCAACTGGTGAGGATGCAGCACTGCGAGTTGGCCGCAGCCGCTTCAGACTGAGTTTGATCCCTGACCCCAGACGCGGCAGACCTCTCCTGACCTGCCCGCTGCTCCCCTCAGCAATGTCAGCGGTGTATTTCCTTGATCTGCCCGTCCTGCTCCCTACTCTGTCTCTGTTGAAGCCTCTCACCACCCCTGCATCTCAAGCTTGCACTCTATTTCTATGTGCATAAATAAGTAAATCTTAAAAAAGGAAAAAAGAAAATGACTGTCATCACGATCATATAATTATCTTAGTACATAGAAAATGATTATTACTAAGATAATCACTTGCATTCACATAAAATAATATTAGTTCTAATCTAATTTCAAAAAATTAGCTATTCTAAAAACAGTATTTGTAAACCAAGTCCATAGTTTTTAGCTTTGAAATACTTGTTTCTGAATTTTAAAATGTTTTTAAAGAGGTTTTTAAGGGGATAGGAACTGTATGTTGTAATGTAGTTGTGTCAAAAGTGGCTGACTTTTTTCTTTCAATTTTAGTATTAACCAAACCAAAGATTTAACCTATGGAGATTATAAGTGGGAAAAATGACAACATAATGTATTAGAGATTTAAAATGGAGACATCTTTTTTTTTTTAAACTTTTCTGTACTGTTTCACAAATTACGTTAGAATTAGAACTTGCTATGTAAGCCATATATGAAACGGTTTATTCTTTGATAAGTTCCTATAATAAACATCATATTTTTAAGATACACAAGTTTAAATAATTTTTTCAACCCAACAAAAGACTTTTAGAGGCAACTAATAGTAAGTGAAACTGACTTCTGCTCTTTTCTGTGTGAGGAGAAAAGCAAAAAGAAACCTAAGTTTTGTAAATTAAAAGATTTTAAGTCTGTTATGTAGTTTTTATGACTTAGTAGAAAAAGATAAAAGATGTAAGCCAAAATTTGACAATTCAGAAAAGAAAAAAATATCACTGAAGTACGTGACAGGTTATGTCTTACAGAAATAGCCCAGCAGTATTTCCTGGCTCACTTCTGCACTACAGTGTTGTCATTGTCATCACAGTGTCTGTATGTCTTGGGTAGGCCCTTTGTTTTACCATAGGAATATGATAGAAATGCTGATAGGCCTGTTCCAAATGTTGCTTTTACTAGGCCTCACAATTTCTGGTTAGTGCCTATTGCCACTCTATAACAGTGTAGTTACCATGAAACCACTATGTTTTGAGAAGCACAAAATCATACAAAGACGAAGCATCAAATGGAAAGACTCAATAGCACTAAGAAACCAGATCTGTAAATGAAGAAGCTGCCCTGGCCATTGCCATATAAATGAAAGGATCCATTCCAAAGAGGACTTTAAGTTTCATAATGTCATGAGCAAAATAAAGTGGTTTGTTTTAAGCATCCGAGGTTTGGGGTGCTTTGGTATGTATCAGTAGAAAACTGAAACAATTACTGGGGAAACAAGATCTCATCACTTAAAATCAGGGATAATGTAGGAGAATACATTCACTTATTTAGATATGACAGGGCACTAATATTTATAACATGGAATGCCTAGATCATCAGACCAAAAACAAGTACTACAGTAGAAAAATGTGTGAAGGCTATGAACAGGCAGTTTTTGGGAGAGGAAACTAAGAGACAGATACAGAAGATCTGCTCAAACTCATTTGTAATCAGAGTGGTTTAGATGAAGCAACAATAATATATTCCCAGTAGACTAAAAAAAAAAAAAAATGGGCGGTGTCACATATTGATGGGGATGGAGATAGGAAGCCTCAGACTCTGTTACTAAGAGTATAAAGTGGTGAGCCATTCTGGAGCACAATCTGTCAGAATATAGTTAAATGAATATAGATTAGAATAAATTGGTTTTTGGCATATGTCCTCAAGAAGTCCTAGATAGATTGCTACAAAAACCAACATGAGGATATTAACCACATTGTTTTTGATGGACTTAGAGTCAGGCTGGATTTCTTAATCATGTGTAGGGAGGGGTGGGAGTAGCTAAAATATGATAAGAGTCATACAGGTATTATTATGCTCTAGATGGAAAAAAAAAAGGACTATGTATGTCTACCACACACATTTTTAAAGTCAGTGTGTGAAGTGAAAGTAATGGAATCTCTTAATACCATTTGTGGAAGTTTGAAGCACATGGATACAAAAATGTCTGCAAGAAAATGTTCAAAAACATGTCAAGCACATTGTTAAAGGTTTCCTTAGAGCAAGAAAAATGTTATCCATAGAAGGAGAAAGGTAGAAGAGAGAATTGAAGTGGGCGGGGCGATGTCAAATAAACTTTAAAAAGCCAGTAATGATTGTAGGATTGTGAACCAAGGTATACAGTTAATCACGTTTCCTGTGCCTGAATGCAGTATGACCTCACCTTCTGAAGAGAAAATTATAATTCTCCAATAACCAAAGTAAATTAAAACCTTGGAATTGTTTTTAAAAATGTGTCAAACTTAGAATAATGTTTTTAAATGAAGTCAGTAATTGCAGTAGAATATCCAAACAGGAAGTTTCATTTTTTTGTTGAATATGTAAGTTGGTATGAATTTTAAAAGACCAATATTTTTCAAAAGCCATAAAACTTTATTGTTCTAGCAACAAGCAATTGTAAATTGAAACTACTAAAACCAAACCAAATAGCACCAGTAAACATGAAATATTTTGGGATATGTTAACTAAGTATGTGTAAGATCTGTACACTGAAACTCTAGATATTGCCTAGAGTCTGTCTCAAATAGTGAGACATATACAATGTTCATGGATTGTTTGGAAAATTAAATAATAGTATGTTTTAACTCCCCTAATTTGACTATAGATTTAAAAACGCAATCAAAATACTAAATGGTTTTTTTTTTCTAAAACAGCTTTTTAAGAGAATTCAGTAGGGTGATATAGAAATCTCTGTGGAAGTGCAAATGCTCAAGACAAGAACAATGAAAATTCTACCTCAGTTCAAATCTTTTAAAACTACAGCAATGCAGCCTTATATTTTGTGAACCAATTTTTTTACCTAAAAATTTTTTTTAATTTTTTGACTTTTTTATTATTATATTAGTTAATTTTTACATATTTTTTGTGCATTTTTCCATCTCAGTTGTAATCCCCATGGGTTTCCCATCACCAAATCACCCATGTGCCATCACCATAGTCCAGTGCATTTCTCTCCTCCCACTGTTTTGATCCCATTCCCCACTGCACCCCCACAAAATGTCTCTGGTATATAGCTGTTCATCATTGTCATTATTTTCTTGCCTGTTCCGTTATATTCCTGCTATGAGAGAAACCATCCGGTATTTTTCCTTTTCTTTCTGGCTTATTTCACTAAGCACGATCTTTTCCAGCTCCATCCATGTTGCTGCAAAAGACATGTGGGTTTTTTTTTGGTTGCTGAGTAATATTCCATTGTGTATATGTACCACATCTTTTTAATCCAGTCATCCATTTTTGGGCATTTGGGCTGTTTCCATGTCTTTCCAATTGTGAATAAAGCAACAATAAACATGGGGGTGCAGGTGTCTTTGAATCAATGTTTTTATGTCTTTTGGGTAGATACCTAGGAGTGGGATTGCTGGGTTGTAGGGAAGCTCCATGTTTAACAGTTTGTTACCTCAAAAAATTTTAAAGTCAGCGATTGCTGACTTTAAACAAAATGATAGGCATATAGATCTATGAAAAGAAGATAAAATGGAGATGCACACATATACCAAGTGGCTTTTAACAAAAGTGCATATGAACCAGCATGGAAAAGAATACTTTCAACAAATGGTGCTAGAACAGTTGGACAGTCATATGCAAGCAATAAGCCTTGTTCCAACTCTCATACTATCTACAAAGGTTAAGTTGAAATGCATCGTAAGCCTAAATATAACACTATATGGAATAAAAGGGGGGGGGGAACCTTTGTGATCTTAGGTAATACAACGTCTAAAATTTCTTAGACAAAAAGGAAGCATAAAAGAAAAAATTGATAAATTTGATTTTGTCAAAATTCAAAGTACATTGTTAAGAAAATGAAAAAGTGGGTGAGGTTGGAGAACAATAGGAGAAAGAGGAAGGAAGAAAAAATGAAGAAAAAAAAAAAAGGGCAAGCCACAGGCTGATAAAAAAAGTTTGCAGCATGCTGGATCTCTTGAAGATGTATTAAGAACTTTTAGAACTCTTAATAAGTTGTCTTAATTAAAAGTGCAAGTAAAGTCTTTGTTATATAGATGAGCCAAAAATGGTGTTTGTTTTGACCCCCACATTTTTATTTACTGTAGGTTGAGACCTTTTAGCTGAAAAATCCACCAGTGCCAAATTTGAATTTTTACCCATCTCATTCTTTTAAAAATTGACCAAAAAAAAAAAAGCAGCTTCTTTTTCTCTTTATTTGGTCATTTAAAACCTGCCCTTGCTTCTCATTCTCTAATCTCACCTCACCTCAGATATATGCCCTGGACTATATTCAATATTAATATATTTTAATATTAGTTAACTAAAAGGGAAAAAGTAGAAAATGTTTGTTAATGCTAATTTTAAATGTACTTGGCTGCCTGTAATGAGAAATTATAATCTTGTCCATATGCTGTGTTTTGGGTGCTTTTTTGTTTTTTTGGCTTTCTCTAAGTTTGCATATCATTGCATTTTTATAAGCAGGGTCTTTTTATGTCAAACCCATCTTATTAAACATTTTATATATATGAATCAGAACTATTCTTCTAAGACTAAACAAGGATAAAATACACAGCTTGAACAGACCAATCACAAATGCAGAAGTAAAAGAGCAATCAAAAGCCTTTCTAAGAACAAAAACACAGGACGATATGCCTTCTTTAGTGAATTTTAAACTTTTATTGCATATCAAATACTTGTTCTCAAACTCTTCAGAAAAATTGAAAAGGGAAAGTCTCCCAAACACATTTCATGAGGTCAACATTAACTTAATCCCAAAACCAAATGACAATACAAAGACAACTCTAGATTGATAGCTCTGATGAATGTAAATACAAAATATTCTTAACAACATCCCAGCAGTTTGAATCCAGCAATATATAATCATTCATCACTACCAAATGGGATTTATACCAGTGATACAAGTTTGGTTTAACATATACAGATTAATGTCATTTACCACATCGACAATTAGAAGAGAAAAATTACATGAACATTTCAGTGGATGCTGAAAAAGCATTTGACAAAATTCCATACCCATTTGTGATTAAAAAAAAATCAAATGGGAGCAAAAGCTACAGTATGTCATATATAGCAGACCTACAGCTAATATCATACTCAGTGTTGAAGAAGTACTTCCCCTACAAAAAGGAACTAAACAAGAAGTGTCCGCTTTCAGTGCTAATATTCCATCTAGTGTTGGAAGTCCTAGCCAGGACAAGTAAGCAAGAAAAAAAGACAGGAAATAATCCAAATTACAGATAATATAACATACATGGAAACTCCAAAAGACTTAAAAAGCAAAAGAACTACTAGAAATAATAAAATCGCAGGATATAATACACAAAAATCGATTGCATTTTTATATGCAAATAATGATTAGAAGAAAGAAAAATTAAAGTCCCATTTATTATTGCACCAAAAAGAATGAAATATGTGGGGGTAAACTTAACAAAGGTGAAGTGTTATTTACTGAAAACTCTCAAGACATGATCAAAAAAAAAAAAAAGCTAGCCTGTGTTCATAGAATTCAGCATATTACCTATAAAAGTTCCAGTATTTTTTAAGGACGTAGGACAATTATAAGATTGTGTATGAAACCACAAGAGATCATGAATAGGCAAACTATTTCTGAAGGGAAAATGGACATATCATGGTCCCTGACTTCAGACTATATTGCACAATGATAATAATCAGAACAGTATAGTATTTAAAAAAAAACCAGAAACAGGTCACTGGAATAAAGAGTCCAGAAATAAACCCACACAAAATAAGCAAAAGTCCTAAATAAACACTTCTTCAAAGAAGACATATAAGTGGTCTATAGTCACATGGGAAGCATGCTCAATATCATTGAATATAAAGGAAATGCAACTCGAAACCAGAGATGTCACTGTACCCCTGTGTGAATGGCCTATATCAGAAAGACTGGAAACAGCAAAAATTGATGAGAATGTGGAGAAAATGGAATACTCACCCACTATTGGTAGGAATGCAGTTTAGTACAGTTCTATGGAGCATGGTATGGAGAATCTTTGAAGAAATAAAAAAGGAAATATTGTGTGACCCAGCAGTACCTTTATTTTTAGGTTCCACCCAAAGAATGTGAAGACACTAATACAAAAAGTTTCATGCATGCCTGTATTCATAGCTGTATTTTTCATTTTACCTAAGTCTTTGGAACTAACCTGTGTCTATCAGCAGACAAATGGATAAAGAAACATGAGTATATACTGAAAGGTTACTACTGAGCTATTTAAAAAGATGAAATAGTGCTTTGGGGGGACAAAGTGGATGGTTGCAATAAGTCAGAAAATGAAAGACAGTTACTGGATAGTTTCACTCACTTGCAGAAAAAAAAGAAAAGCTGGCAAAATACAACAAATATCAGGTTATGCTGGTTATCAGGTTGGGGTGGGAGGAAGGAGAATGAGACAAGGTATTAGCACTGGAATTTTGGTGGAAGGTAAGTGAAGCATAAGCACATAAGAGGTGGGAAGTTAGAGCCCCAAATTTAGATAACTAAAGGATTAGCAAATCAATACAATTTGAGACTTAATAGTTTTATATATTTGAGTACACCTGTGTTGGATGTGGAAATACAGATCACAGTTTTGTCTATTTTGATGAATTATCTTCCCGATCACTAGATAGTGCCCATCTCTGTTACTAATTACCTTTTTTTGCTGAAGAATTAATTTATTAGAGTTGAGAATAGCAATTCCTGCTTTTATCTTCCTGTTGTTGGCTCGACATACCTTCTTCCAGCCACTTACTTTACGTCTGTTTCTCTTGAGATCCAATGTGAGCCTCTTACATGTATAACGTGTTTTTAATTCATTTTCATAAAGGCAAACTAAACAGTATATTAGTATTTCATGGAAATGTATAATAATATGTATTTAAACCATATTGTGACATAAGCATGTATGTACCCACATATGTATTTATACAAGTAGATTTGTGTACAGTTTTTAGGACTTTGCTTATTTGGATGATGGGCGATGGTAGATTCTTGGGGTTTTTGGTTCTTAAACTGGGTAGTAAGTTTAGATCTTTCATTCTGTTATCCTTTATAACTAAAGCATTTCATGGAGTCTCATATGTGAATATGTTGACAATGAAAAGAACTAGGCAAAAGTAGTAGGAATTAAAATAACTAGAAATTGTAGGGAAAAAGATGAGTCCATTGTTATAAGCATTCATGTGAAAAAAATTTCACCAAATTATTAACTGAAGTTGTTTGCATAACCATGCTAACATTTTGTTCCTTTTGGCTGGAAGTATGATATTGGCAAAATATTAATTTGCTTTCCCTTTCACCTACTTTTAAACTGATTTGTCTACCATGACACACTTTTTTTTTTTTTGATAGAGTACTTGGGATTAGATTGTAATGATGAGATTTGCTGATGTGAGAAAGAGTTCCTCTTAATATGCAATAGAGAAATGTCAGCATTTCACTTTGGCTTTTCAACTACATATTGAGAGGAGAAAAAAGGTGTTAAATTAGGTTTGTAGGATACATTTTTATGCTTAAAAAGGTATGCATGTGTATGTTGTATATATCTTTTTTTTTAAGATTTATTTATTTATACAAGAACTAGGGTATAGGCCAAAGGTGTGGGGGGTGAGAGAATTCACCACAGAAAGAGGGGGGCGCAAAACAGAACTACAGAAATACACTTCTGAGGTTAACAGTAGGGAGAGGTCTGTTGTGCCATGTGGATCACCTCCCTGGCTCGGGATCGAACTCATGTTGCAGTGGCTATGATTAGTTTCATAGTTCTGTAGATAGCTCATAGTGCTGTGTTTTAATACTTTGCACTACCAAGGAGGTCCTCATTTAGCTTTATACTCAGAGAAGATATGCTTTGATGGTGGGTGTGGTAACATTTTTAACACTTTTGAGGAAGTGTGGACCTGTACTCTTAAAACATATTCAAGGTTGTCAACCCATGTTGCCTCAATTAAAAATAAATGAAACTGATGCTTATAAAGGAGAGACTTATTAAGTGTTTTATCTGTTAGTGAATGTATATTTGAGAGTCCAAGAAGTTGGAACAGAAGAAGTCCGGAATGAGTACTTACTAGTGATCCTTTGTACCGTCCCCATTATTAATCCACTTTTATTATGAAGAAGAAAGTAAGTTATTTATATTTTAATAATATCTTTCTATTTTTAAAATTTATTTTTATTTACTTATGTGTACAAGAACTGGGGTGTAAGTAAGCCCGGGGTACAGAAGGTGAGAGGATGCACCAGAGACAGAGTAGGGAACAGAACAGGCAGATCTACTGAAATACACTACTGAGGGGAGCAGAAGGCCAGACAGAAGAGGTCTGCTGTTTCATGTGGGTCAGCTCCCTGGCCTGGGATCAATCTCATGATGCAGTGGCTGCCAGAACTTGACAGAGCTGAGACTTAAGCTCTATCCCTCCAGGGAGGCCTTAAATACTGATTTTGTAGAAACCTCTACTTTGATTATAGAGATTTCAGTTTCCAAAAAAGATGATTTGTTCATTATGGTATTATTATTATTATTATTATTTTTAATCCTAGGATTGAATACCTCAACTGAACTTAAAGGAGAGAGCAAATGCTGTATTTTGGACCATGCTTAAATGAAGATGAGCTAGAAGAGGATGAAACTGTTAAAAATATGTGAGTTTATTTTACAGTTAAAGGAATGATTCAACTTTGTTATAATGGTATTCTTCTATGAAACTCCCTAGTAGGAAATTTTCTTTCATTATATTAAACTGTTATTTCATTATGAAAATCTTATTTCAAATTCATATGTACAGATATCCTGAAAATCAATTAAAATCTTGTGTGCTAAGACGTTATAACATTGCTGCTTTACATATTTTACCACTTTAAAAACTATTCTGAACTTCAAATCTTTTAAATAAATGAGGCTGAAATCCAGTGTGGTTGTGTCTGATTATTTGTGTAGCAGATATTTACAGACTTTTTTTACTCTTCTTTGTAATTTTTTTTATGTTGCCTTATCTGAATGAGTTCTTAAGACAATTTTATAACCATGTCTTTGTAGTTCAAGTCCCAATTCTGTCAGTTTCTTTGTGTCAATGAAAAGCATTTAAATGATTTAAGTCTCCATTTCTTCACCTGTAAAATGGGGTATGAGTAGTACATTTTTAACTCTTTTTTTTAAAGATTTATTTATTTATGCATACAAGATCCTGACAGAGATGCAGAAAGTAACACATTTACCAGAGACAGAGTGGGGCACAGAGCAGGAGTATTGACTGAAATACACTGGTGAGGGGAGCAGTGGGCAAGACAGGAGAGGTCTACTATGCCATTTGGGGTTAGTTCTCTGGCCAAGGAACAAACTCATGTCACAGTGGCTGGTGATAGTTTCATAGTGCTAAGCCTTGACCCCTTGCACCACCATGAGGCCCCTTTTCTGAGCTATTCATAGCTACCTGTCAGTCACTGCTAAATGTTTGATTGGTATCATCTACATTTTACACATGTTGAATTTAAATGCTTAGTAATTTTAAGTCCATACAAGATCACACAACTAATTAAGAGGGAGACTTAGAATTTGGTTTGAAGTTTATCTGACCCCAAAACCAAAGTTGTATTGCATTCCTTCTATTTGGAGAACTGCTAATATTTCATAGGTTTGGTTACTTTGACTCTGCTAAACTTTGAGGAACCCTGGTCTGTATGTTAAATGATAGCACAGAACCAGGAGTGTGCGATCATTCTAGACTCCTGTAAGCATTTGAGATTTTAGTGGTTCACAAAATTTACTTGGAGAGAAAGGATTGTTATTTAATTCTAGGAGTATAACCATTTGAACTCCAAAGGGCTTATAGCTTTGGAATACTACCTCTTGCCCTCTGTGGGTATAGCCGATGAAACCATTTCTATCCCTAAAAGGAGGTTGAGGTAATCAGAATAAATGTAAATAGAAGTTTGTCCTACTAACCATATAGGGAGTATCCAGACTTTATAGAAAAAAAAAAAAAGCTTGCCAAAATGAGATGTTTCAATCTTCAATGTTGGTTAATAAAACATTCAATATGAACTCTAACACATAGAAAGTCTAGTTCCATGCTACCTGTAGTTAGTCATAAAAAAATTCTAAAACCAATATTTAATTTTTATTGCCCATTTAATTTTATGTCAGCTATTGTGGTAAGTACTAGAGGCAGATGTATTTATTCTTCAAAATGATAATAAACCTATTACTGGGTATTTGTTGCTCTCCCTACATTTCATTAGAAAAACTAATATGTAGATCTAAAACAAAGGAAAACTTCCTTAAAGATGTCTTTTAGTCTCCTCATCTCAATTAGGTCTTCTTAGGCCTCCGTGGTGGCGTAGAAGTTAAGTCTCAGCACTCTCAAGCTATCACCAGCCACTGCAGCCGGGTTGTCCAGTTGGATCCCACTGGTCTACATGGCACCATAGACCTCTCCTGTCCAGTGTCCTCCCCCACTGCTCCCCTCAGAAGTTTATTTTGGTGGATCCGCCTGTTCTGCTCCCCACTCTGTCTCCGGTGATTTCTCTCATTGCCAGCCCCTCTGGCCTACAGCTCAGTTCTTGTATGCACACATTAATTAAAGTAAATCTTTTCTAAAAATTAGGTCCTCTTTCCTTAAGCTCTTTTCTTTGTTGTATTTACTACAATTTTTAATATATTTTGTTAAATGTTTGCTCAATGTCTGTCTTTCTTACTCGACTTTTCCTAGACTATCATTCAGTGATACTTATTGTTTACCCAAATTTCAGGTACTGTTAGGTGTATATCTTAGGTGAAGAAATTGTGAATAAGGCAAGGTCAATGTTTTCATGAACTTCCTTTCTGTTGGGAAGATGGACAAAAACCACCTAAACAATTAGGAAGCAGTAAGTATGATAAGGAAAACAAATTAGGGCAAAAGTTTAGTGACAGGGAAAAGGAGGGGCTGTTTGAAGTCAGGTAGGGGAGGCAGACAAAACCACTCTAAACAAAAAGCCTAAGTAATATAAAGGAGCAAGCCTTGGGAAATAGAGGATTGGAGGTTCTGGGAGCAGAAACAAAAAGTAGACTTGCTGTGAGGCTGGAATGAGCTTATTTGAGGACGGCAAGAAGTGTGGGTGAAATCAAATGAGCCCTGGGGAAGGTTTCCCTGGGGCTGGAGAGGTCAGAACATACCAGCGAGTCACTGGGGGTTTTGCTCTTAATGTGATACACTGGCCTTAAAAGGATTTGAGGGAAAGTCATGATATCTAATTTACTTAAAATAAATAAATAAATAAATAAATAAAGCCTTGTGTGAGCATAAATGCCAGGACAGGTTTCAGGAAGACTAATTAGGATGCTCTGGCCATATTCCAGGCACCAAATACTTGTGATTTGGGTATGAGGTTCTTAAACAAAAATGGGGAGAAGTAGTGAAAATATATTTTGGAAATGGAGTGACAGGACTTACTGAAGCATCAGATTTGGGAATAAGAAAGAATCAAGATTGACCTCTAGGTTTTGGGCTTTAGAAAGCAAGTAAATCATGGTGCTATTAGTGTAGTAGACCTCTCCTGTCTTGCCCACTCACTACTCCCCTCAGCGGGGTATTCAGTCTGCCTGTTCTGCTCTCTACTCTGTCTCTGGTGAATCCTCTCAGCCCCCACACCTCTGGCCTACACTCCAGTTTTTGTATGCATAAATAAATTTAAAGAGTAGTGGTGCCGGGCCACCAGCGGGTTAAAGCACAGCACTAAGAAGCTAAAGCCACTTCAGCATGAGTTCGATCCCTGCCCTGAGGTGATCCACATGACGCAGCAGACCTAACAGCCCGCTGCTCCCCTCAGCAGTGTACTTCGTGAGTCTGCCTATTCTGCTTCCGGTTCGGTCTCTGGTGAATCCTCTCTCCGCCCCTCTGGCCTGTACCCCAGTTCTGTATGCATAAATAAATAAATCTTAAAAAAATATTGTGCCATTAGTAGAGGTGGGGAGAGGAGAAGGGTGTATGTTTGTGTATGTGTGTGCATGTACATATGTTGGCATTAGAGTTCTGTTTTGTACATACTACGTTTGAAAAGATTATATACAAGTGGATATATTCCATGAGTGTGTGCATCTGAACCTCTGGACAGAGAGATTTGGAACTCATTAACATACAAATTTAGGCACTGGATAAAATCCTGTAAGGAGACCATGTAAAGAAATGGAGAGGTGAAGTTGGAGTTCTTGCCATTTCTCCTGCAGTGTGTAAGGACACCCATACTGAGGGAAACTCCCTTGAGGTCCAGTGCTTTGTGGGAACCCCAGGTGGGAGGCCTTCTGATAAGTGTCTGCAATTTCATATTGTTGGTTCATTCATTGCCTCTCAGGGCTTAAAGCTTCTACACCATGTTTGCAGTGTCTGAACCAACAAGAAGTCATTGGGAGGTTTCTACATAAATGATGATTCCAGGAAAGATTTTGAGGACGTTAGGAAGGCTGGAATCTTTCAGAGTGCAAAGTGACTTAAAACAAAGCATTTCTTTGACTTAACTGAGAGCGGGAGTTGTGGGATTGCATTTAAATTTAGTTCAACTGGAGAGGCAGCCCCAACCAAAGCACCAATTCAATTAAAACAAAATATAGTTCCTGTTCAATTGCATGGTTAAATTTGCTGGACAACTGACAGTTTATGAAGAACAGTAACAGCCTCAGGGGTAGACCTAATTAATCTAATAGGGAAAAGATGGGGATTGGGCAGGAAGAGATAAGACTAAAATACGATAAAATGATGACTTTAGCTTCAAGATATGTTGAGTTTTTGGCCCTTAGTAGTATGTTTCCTGCCTTACAAAAATCTCTCAAGCTTCAAATCAGCAGTCCCTACTGGCTAAGATTAAGTTTAGCTCCTCTCTTCTACGAGCCTACCCATGGCAGAAACAGAAACAAAAACTTGAAGGGAGGAGGAGAGAATGAGTGTTGTTACAGTGGGTCCTTCACCCTCTAGAGTAAAAATTCACTGCAGGCTCATTGGACCAGGCATGATTTATTAGAACTTGTACCGGACAGGGGTCTGGGTTGCTGATTGAGGGGAGTCCAAGACCAGTTTTTAAGCTGTCTAAAATCTTTATCTTTCTTCAAGGTCCTTTGGATCCCCTAGAGTAAAGCATATGTTTGATCTTTCACAACTCTCCAGCAGTTACCTGGCATCTGGGCTACTCACAAACCAATGGAATGTCTCCATAGTTGCTCAAGCACAAGAAAACATGAGTGGAGCAATGTATTAGTTTGAACAAAGTGGTCATAAGTAGGGAAATACAGTCTCTTTGGGATCATGTCTTTAGTGTCCCAGGGCCCACTAGCAGCTCATGTTGTGACTAGTCTGACCTAATTCAGTGTGAAGAACTTTATTGCATCACACGATTTCTTAAACTGCCCTTGTAGTTTCCATAACTCTACTTGGACTGCACACTTTTGTGCCCCCTCAATTCGACTGCCTTCTCTGTGCCTAACCACCTCTTACCCCCTTGGGATAAAACAAAGGAAATCCGCTGGAGTCCTTTAAAGACTAAACACAAGAGACCCTCCCTCACACTGTTTACCAAGTGACACAAGCTATATGCAACTTCTATCCGATCCCGATGGAGGGGAAATGCTCTGAAAAATCAGCATTTCCATGCTGGCTTATGTTGTGACCTCCCTTTTTTGTATAATCTAAAATATTCTAAGCAGCCATCAGTTTTCAACTGGATTGCCTTAGCCACGTAAGGTGCTGCCTGGCTTAAGCGAGCCAGGACGGGAAATTCCTCTTGAAATAAAAAATATTACCACTGGCTGATTAATAAAAGCAATTATAACAAAATCAATATTGTAAGACAAGGCAGCACGAGAACATTTTTAAAAATAATCAGAGTTCTTTTACTGCCCGGATGAGAACCCAATCTTATTACTCTACTCTTACTTAAGCTTTTTATTGCTTAGTCTTTAAATAAGGAATCTTACTATCTCCCTTAGAGATTTATCTGCAGGAAAACTTCTCCAACCTAGCCCTCTTTACTTTACTTTACCCTCTTTCACAACTTCACCTTGGCCCGCCACCTCACTTTATCCTCTTTCACATCTCCAGCCCAGCCTCCACCCTGGCCCCCAAATTTACTTTACCCTCTAAGATGTTTCAAAGAGAATGAAGATCATTAAGTAGCATCTAAGTTTTAAAGGGACTTTATTTTAGCCAATCATCACAGTGGTAAATGTAACAATGTTAGCCTTAAATTTTATGAATTTATGTACTATTTTAACTTTGATAGATTAATTTTAAGAATAATAAATGTTATAATCTCAGCTGAAGGTCAATACGACCCCAAACTGTTCTTAGGAAAAAAAAAGATGATCATAATTTCTCAGCCCAGTTAATGTGCTGATGTCATCCCACTGCTTGCTGGTAGTGTATAAAATAAACTTCTGCTGAGAGTAGAACAGGAAGACTTGCACCCAACTCCGATTCCGTTTCTTCCTCGCACCCGCTCCCTCTCCACTCCCACCCTCTTTTTAGGAATCTCCAATCTCCGACACCACTCTCACCATAAGACCCTGCCTGTTCTGCCCCCCAACAGCCCGTGATCGGGGCATCCCCAACAACCAAGCTCTGTCTCTACATCTTGCCACTGATTTGACTCTGCGAAGTCACTCGCCTTCAATCCAAGATGCTGTACTAATGGGTAATCAGGGCTAAGATGCGCGTTGGGGGAAACACAGAAACAGGAGCCTGCAGGAAGAAACAAGAGTGCAAGTCTTTATCCGGAAAAGCTTATGGGAGCAAAGACAACACATTTAACAAAGATACAAATGTGTTTAATTGAGGGGAAAATAAAGCCATGGCTACACGCCCACTTCTTACTACTACACGGCTTCCCATTCACCATTGGCTTCTCAGACCCCATCTACGCTTCAACCCAGAGCTCAAACAAGACTGATCCTATTGCCCAATCCGAGCCCCGTCTTCCTCAGTCGAGAGCATCCCTGCAGCCAATGAGAGGACTGGGCGGTGTGGTGGGGTGAGATGTGTCTACTTCACCCGGAATCTTGGGGGCGTGGCAGTTGTCTTGGGTGGGGCTTAATCTTGATTGGCAGGTAAGCCTCGGCGGCCTTAGAGCGGAAACGCCGCGCCGTACGCAAGTGGGCGGGGTAAGTGGGTGGGGTAGTCGAACTGGAATCAACCAATGGCTGAGACACTACGGCTAGCGAGAACGTTAGATCACCAATGGTGGCATGGATATGGCGCCGTGGGCGGGGTTTAAGCAGAAAGCGGTGTAGGAGCAGCGCATATTAGTGTCGTCCTCACCGTCACGGCCAGCGCCTCTTCCTGGATTCATTCATTTTTTTTTTCCAATTCACGGAGGTAGTGAGGCCGGGTTGAAAGCCATGGAGAGCGTTCTTCCTGCTGCCGGCTTTCTCTACTGGGTAGGAGCAGGCACCGTGGCCTACCTGGCCTTGCGCGTGTCGTGCTCGCTCTTCTCGGCCCTTCGGGTCTGGGTTTTGGATCACGAGGTGGGGGTCGGACCCAAGCTGGGAGAATGGGCAGGTGAGTCGGACCCCGCGCTGCTGGCGCCCTGGCTCCGGCGGCGGCTCTTGCGGCCCGATGTCGGGCCTGGCCAGCGCTGACCGGGTCGGGGCCCAGCGCCCGGCCTTCCATTCCCCAGCTTTCCTTCTCCTCCTCCTCGAGGCCCCTGCACCACTCGAGCCGGCCTGACCTTGTTAGCCAGCTCTGGCTTGCAGGCTTGTGGAGTTTTAAAATAATGAATACGCTGCTGGCAGTCTTTTAGTACGTTGGCGGGCGCGGGAGAAATTTGGCCAGAATTCCCTGAAGCTTGTGTCCTGCAAGCTGTTTCTGGCCTGGAGGTAGATCTGTCGCCTTCCAGCTTTACCAGTCACACTCTACCCACCTCGATCCGCCCGCGTGAGTGTTGCTAAAGTTTTCCGCTGGGTTTTAATATTGATTTTGTGTTATGAGTGCAGAGCTTTCTGTTATTTTTTGGAGTGAGGATGGAGGGAAAGGATATGGAATTTCACAAGTCTGTGCTCTTTCGAATCGTTAGTTACTTAGATTCGGCTTATTTCATACGATTTTACATCTTACACATCTTAAGAAAAATCTTATTCTGGAATCCTAGTGAGCAGTAAGAACTACCGCTTTTGCAAGAACGGCAACTCTTAGGGTAGAAGTCAGAAATGCTTTTTGCAGAAGGACATTTGTAGGAAAAAGTATTCCCACTAAGAGTAAGCTGGGTAAATGCTTCTCTGTCGAGGATTTGAAAATGGAGGACAAAGGTCAGGTTGGAGAGGCTGGGAAAATTACCTGCAGGAAGGTTTTGGGCTTGCTTTTTTTTTTTTTTTTTCTTTTTGTCAGTTGCTTTTCTTTTAACTTTACTTGTAAACAAGTAATAAGCAGTGATTCTTTGATGTGATTATTCAGTCCGATGTTTTATATTTATTTGAATGTTCCATTCCCCAAACACTTAATTGAAACTGATGTGGTTAGGGTTTGCTTTTAAATGAGTAGGTTCAAGTAAAGTACACAAATAATGTTACTTTATAGTCTTTACTTTGTTCTTTTAAAATAATCTGAATAACTTAGTAGGAAAAGCCAAAATTAGTCTTTTGGACAGCAACACAAACATTAAAAGAAAACGGCTTAAATCAGAAGGGGTAGATGAGCTCTCTGGCAATGCTATGAAGCAACTGTTAGCACCATGATACTTATTTTTTAAAACATTTTTTGAAAATGCAACTCGTTTATAATCACGTGTAACTTCGCAGTTGACTTGCCCAAGTTCTTGATTGTCAAGTTTGGAAAACTCACTTGTGGAATTTTGAAATAGTTACACAAGATCCAAGGTCTTAGGAAATCATAATCAAGATGAAGTTTTGTAATTTGTAAGCAAAAACTGATGTTAGTGACCGCTTTTTTTTCCCACTTTCTAAAATTGACCATAATGGTTAATAACTCGGGGTCCAAATCCTCTGTGAGTCAATAGTAAAAATCTAGTGTTGTTTCATTTCGTAAGTAATATTTGTATTGAAAGAATTTAGCCCCAGGGGAAGAATGTTTGATCAATTAAGGGAATTGTATAAAAGAGTTAGAAATGAAATTTGAACTAGAACAATGGGCTAGCAAGAGAGGGGCCTAATGTCATAAAGTGGAAATATTGTTGAGTTCAGTCTACCCTGGATTGTTGGAAAATCTTTGCTAACTACTTAAGCAAAAGTTGTTTTTACTTCTATGTGGTCACCTAGGTCTTCAAAGAACAAAACTTCCTATTTCTCTGAATTCATAGAATCCTTGATGCAAAGAAAAGTACGAGTGGCTCATTTTAAACAGGTTCTTGGTAACCGTTGGAAGAGTGAGCTGAAATAACTTGAAAAACAAACCAGCAGAGATGACACTTGAATAACTAGGGTTAAATTGTGATTAAAAATAGTCAGCTAGGGCCCTCCCTGGTGGCGCAGGGGGTTAAAGCACAGCACTGAGAATCTAAAGTTCGATTCCTGCCTGCCCTGGAGGTGACCACATGGCGTGGCAGACCTCTCCTCACCCGCCCGGTGCTCCCCTCAGCAGTGTACTTCGTCGATCTGCCTGTTCTGTTCCCCACTCTGTCTCTGGTGAAGCCTCTCGCCGCCCCTGAGCTTCTGGCCTGTACCCCAGTTCTGTATGTACAAATAAATAAATCTTTAAAAAAAAAATAGGCAGCTAATTAGTTTAACCAAAGTTATGAGTTTAGAATAAACATCTCTATAGAAGTAGTATAAATATTTTCTCCCTTATGAAATTGCTATCTTCATATTAAATATTAAAAGTTTCTGTTTACTCCTGTGCAGCCCTTGAATAAATGCTGGTGGCTTGTAGTCATTGCCTATTTTCCAGTTACTGTTAAACATCTTCCTTTTCATAACTAATTAGAGATTGTAGGTGTTCTATGGTAGTCCTAAAGCATATTTTATTCTTGTTATTCTGAAATCTCTTCATGTATGTTTACTTTCTCTTCAAATTTTAGGATCTGAGAGGCAGAGATAGAAGATCCTGACATTTTTGTCCTTTTCAAAGTAACTGGCACACTGATCAGATATAAGCTCTTCTAACCTTAGAACCTTTAAAAAAATAAAAAATTCAGGTATGCATTGCAATCACGAAAGATATTCTAGATCACAGAGTCCTTAGTCTAGTTAGGTTTTTCAGACTGTGCATTTCTTGACCCATACTCTAACTTGTCTTTCATTTCCTGATCAAGAGCTAGTTATCTCTTTTCCCTAGTTCTCTGCAGTAACATTTCCACTCAAGTGAATTCCACTCACTTCACTAGGTCCCCAGCAGATGGGTCCAGTTGAGTAGGTCAGACTCTTATATGTCATTGTTACAGGATACTTTCCCAATGTCTGAGGAGAACAAAGAGAGCCTGTGAAAATGGAGCTTCAGTTGTTTGAGGGTCACACTGTAGCTGGTATTCAGTAGGAGATTGCTAACAAAGGTAGTCAGCTATTACTAAATAACAAAAACAACAGTCATTGCCCTGTAGCCATAAAGAATGTAATCTGTAGAATTTGATTTGGGTGTAGATTTATTTTGCAGTTTCCACCTTGGGAGTTAATTTAGAATGGTTGACATAAAGTGGAGATAATAGTTACAGAGGCAAGGTCCGTTTACTTCCAAAGTCAAGATATTTTGTAACATTCAACTCGAGAGCATTCAGGGAGAGGATATTGTTTCAGGCTGCAACGAATAAAGGATTCACCAATCTGCTAATGAGCTAGATTTTTAAAATAGCTTTATGGAGATAGAATTCATACACTGTACAGTTTACTTACCCATTCAAAGTATTCAGCACTCTCCCTCTCCAATTCCTACGCTCTACTCCCTTGAGCACTAATCTATACTCCAGCTGTCTAAATTTGCCTGTTGGATATCTCATATAAATGAGACTGGACAGTGAAGTTTTTGTGACTGGCTTCTTTTGTTTACCACAATGGTTTCAGGGCCTTTCCATGTTGTGGTATGTTTCAGTGCTTTTGTTTGTTTTTTGCTACTGATTAATACTCAGTTCTCTGGAATGAGTTTAGATTTTGCAAAGGGGTTTCACCTCTGCGTTCTGCCCTTGCATATGTACATTGGCAGTTCTCTAAAATGTCAGCTTTAGATGATGCTGACCCTGTAGTATTTTATAGTTTCCCTAACTCAGTGAATAGTGAGCACTTGAACAGGACACGAGATGGTGTGATTCTCTTGTAAACAAGCCACTCATTAAAACTGGCTTAGCTGGCCCTCCCTGGTGGCGCAGCAGGCTAAAGCACAGCACTAAGAAGTTAAAGCCAAGAATTCGATCCCCCGCCCTGGAGGTGACCCACATGGCGTGACAGACCTCTCCTGACCCACCTGCTGCTCCCCTCAGCAGTGTACTTCTCAGTCAGCCTTCTCTGCTCCCCACTCTGTCTCTGGTGACTCTTCTCACCGCCTCTACACCTCTGGTCTTAAAAACAAGAACAAAAACAAAAAAACCTGGCTTAGCTTAGCCTACTCCAAGGACTGGAGATTTTTAAATCAGTCTTGGTGAATAACTTCTGTTTTTACACCAGATAACTGCATTGGATTGGTCTAGTTACCTTATATGGCTAAGGACTACTGGAGTATCCAGGGCATTGACGGTAGTTGCCTTTTTAAACTAGACTTTGAAATATTAACATTATTTGGAAATTCTTGTGTGGAATGTTAGTGATATAAATTGGCAAACTCAGAAGAACTTTTAATAACCATTTATGAATATTTGAAGTGTTCTGGGCACTTGGCATAGATTATCTTTAATTCTGAACTGTGCTCCTCTCCCTCCAGTGTACAGAGGAGAGGTTGGAGCCACTTTTGTCTCTGGGTTCTTAGCTAGTAAGGCACAGAGGTAAGATTTGAGATCAAGGGGCCCATTCTGGAACATGCTGATTGTGTGCACAGTGGCTTGTAGATTGCATGGGTACTTGGGGGTGATTCCTTTATACTTTATTGCTTTTTGATTGAAGGCACACATTCAAATTTGCACATGCTTGGTACTTCTGAAAACATGGCAGAGTAGTTAGTACATTTTAGGATCAAGTTTTCTTCAGATTTGCAATCATGCATCAATTCATTGCTGCATGAGAAAACATGGGTGAGTCCTTGAGGTGCTCAACAAAGCAGAGGCACTGACTGACCTCAGATGCTGTTTTCTGTTTACCACGCTGATGTTCTCAAATGGACTGGTTGGGGGCTTAACTGGGCAATTGTGATATGCTCATTGTTGACATTCAGTAAACTCCTGTACTAGGGTAACAGATGCTGTTCTTGCTGGTGAGCTGATGGTAATCACAGTTAATGCTGTGGATTTTTGTTGCTAAAAACTGCCTTTACGTACACAAAAAGCAGGGCAGGTGGAGGAGGACAGAGAAAAAATTAATTTTGTCATAAGTCCTTGAAGATATTTATTCTTTCTACAGTTCTGCTCTGAAAATGGAGAAAGATAGTGTGTGTGCCTAAATAGAACAAGCTCTCCAGATTAAAGTTAGCAG